GTGTTTACAGTATTTTTATTATCAGAAAAACCTTATATTCATCATTACATTATCAAGGCAGTTTTTGTTTGGTATAGATACTGTGTGAGACAACAGTGCTAAAGGTGAATTCACTGTTTTTTTCCCCCCTCCATTCTAAAATGACCTTCTTTGCCATCAATTTTAACATCCATTTTTCCATCATTTTACAGGGAACAAATACAAACGATTGGAGCAATTTGGATTGAGCCGAATGTGTTGAAGGATATGTTTTTGTTCCCAGCTGTCATTTGAAAAGTTTAGGGGAAAAAAAAGGGCCGTTCCATTAGTGATCTAAGAACAAAACAAAAGCCAAAGATGGTGAATGACATTTAGTCCTGTGTCTGCTCACAGCCACTTACCTGCTGCACCGCTTTTCCTTTAAGTGGAAAAATGTATTCCACTGCAGGAGCCTGGAAGGTAATAATGAACCGTAATGGCAGAATCATTTGACTCTAAAGGCTTTGAACGATTCAAATAAATTAATTTAATTGGAAGTAGTTTTTCTCTTCCTTTTTACCGATGCCATTTTATTCTGAACAAGCACCAAGTTGAGGAGGTTTAAATCCAGGTCAGAACAACGAGGCCCACCAGAGCGGCAAGGACATTTTCAGGATGATTCATCTGTAGGTGGAAAAAAAAAAAAAAAAAAAATTAAAGTTATTCGTGTATTTATTTTGTTTGTCTATTTTTTTTTTAGCAATAAATTAATTTATATTTGTCTTCCTGGATAAAAGTGACCATAGGTTATCATCACTGCTAAACACAGACTATTTTTATTATTATTCATTTCTCATCATTATATCTAAAGGACAGAAAAAAATGGCATACAGTTAATTTACTATTTGCATGATCACATATGGTAACAACCATAAGCCTTAAGCTTTTTGTACAGGACACCATTCAATCATTTTCACTGACAATACATCTTTGTGAATTAAATTTTTTATTCTTTAATTTTAAAAAATATAATTGTGACACTTATAATTATAAATAACTATAATTGTAATATAATCATATTTTTATAAATATATATTTTTTTAATTAAAACAAGGACAGTTACTTTTATGGCAGGACAGGAAAACAAAATTATCCAGTTGGAAAATGACTCAGTGTATTGACCAGATGGTCCTGAATTACATGGCCATTAGGACACACTATAAGATCAGCATCTAGCAGGATTGCAGTCTACTAGTGGAGACTTAGATCATTTTAAAAAGTGTTTCTTTTTTTTGAAAGATGCCATTAGGTTTAATGTCCTTGTGGCTTTGGTGTTCACTGAGTAACAACTTAAAAGAGAGAGGAAACAAGTTCCAGGCTTGTTACCAAACCTAATGTTATTAACGCTTAAAATAAATAAATAAATGAGAATGAAACATGGCTTTTTAGGAATTAAAAAAAAAGAAAAGAAAAAAACCCCAAACAAATAAAGGCAACCGGTGCAGAATTAAGAGCATGGTTGTACACTCTTAATATACTGGATAGATCAGTACAAGTGCTGCGCAACATGAATTGGTTGTTCCTTAAAAAAAAAATCACTGTGTGATTGACTCCATAACTGGAAAGATGAAGACAAACCCATTGACGTAATAAACGCATCGGTTTAGCTTGGCCGTGTCTACTAACGTACTGACTACTTAGAGAAATAATAAATCAAATTATACCCCTGCGAGACAGCGATGGAGTAGATCTAACCCACTAACGTCAGAAACATTGATTTTATAATTGACAAAAAACTAACACAGGTCACAAAGCTGCATTTAACCAGACTGTACTAATCATAAAATGTTCTTTTATGATAAACCAATAACCACTGCTGACATTGAGGGCAATCAGAGCTCAGCAGAAAGGATAACTTAAATTGATGGAGTAATAATAACCTGTTCGAGCCACTTTCTGATTACTTAACCCTGGAATGGATGCGTCCTTCTGTCGCTGCGACACGAAGGCACAACACGAAGCTCAGGGCCACTGGTTTTATGAAGACTGTAAATCAAAGTTGCTCTGTTATTTATTTATTTTTTCCCAAGTCACACAGTTTTGTGTTTTGTTACAGAACCAAAGATGTTCATTTTCTTTGTGCCAAAGCTACACTATTTAATCTAAGACTAATTTAAAACTTTGATTCTCTTCACTGCAAAAACACTGGTAGGAGGGAAATTGAACACTTCATTTCACTCTGGAAAATGGACATCAGCCCAACAAAATGTGCGCGAGCACATGAATGTAAGACATGACTCATGATTTCACTCATCTCCGTGATGTGTTTCAGATTTAAAGGTCATGTGGAAGAGACTCATGAAAAAGCAGGAAATAAGCTGTGAGTCAGTTATGCCTGGCTGAGTCCTGTTTCCCGCAGGCAAAGAGCAAAAAAACAGAATTGTCTCATCAAAAAGCTGTCAAGAAGGCTGCCATGCACATCAGTGAGCGAATACTTACATATCAGTGGCACAAATATCACACTTGTCAATAATAAAAGTCACTGGGCAGAAACACGCCAACTGGGGAGCAGGGTTTTTTTGTACTATGACTGGATGATGCTTCTAAAGAGTCACAGCAAGATTGTCAGCAGAGACTACAGAAAACACCCAGGTTTGAAACTGCAGTATGATAAGGTAGTATTATGAGTACATAAATACCACACTTTAAGATGTATCTTGCTCCAAGATAAGAGAATAAATCAACTTCAGGGTTCATCACCTTTACTCTGACACCGACCATCTCCATGTTCTCCATCACAACATCTACAAATCTCCTGAAGTCTTCCTCCTCTCCTCTTCCCTGGCAACTCCATCTATAACATCCTTTGTTCCATATATATTCACTCTCTGTCCTAACCGTCTCAACCTGCCATGTTTCTCAAGGAACATAAATCAACAAGGGGAAACATATTCATATATTCAGATAACCATCTATCATATATCTGGGAAAAGAAGTAAAGCCTCATGACTGGACAAACAGACATGCCGTAGCAGATATTCTTAGTCGTTTAAGTCGAGCGCTGTGATTCCACGCAAAGCTCTGGTGGTGTTTTCGAAAATCCCTGTTACATAAATAGCGCATAATAGGAACATTGAGCCATGAAAAATCTGCCTTCACAATATGTAATCAAAAAGAGCCTTTGATGTTAAAAAGGAAACTGCAGAAACCAACCACTGTGGACGAAAATACCCAGGGTCTTTCTGAGTGCTGCGCTTCATTTCTGGAGCTACGGAAATTAGCCGAGGTGCTGGATTTTGATTAATATTCTTGGTCGCTAATGGTTCAGGAGCCGAGAGCTGTGGAGTGATAAATGCTGATGAGGCCTGTGAGAGACATGTGACCTGGATATAAGAAGAAACGTTCAGTCATCGGGATTCTTAAAGGAGGATCACGCTGATTTTTTTTTTTTTGTGCTGAAAGCAAATACACGAGGGTCATTGACATTTGACTTATAATATACAAGCCATAATAAAGGATAAAAAGTGCCCAAAAAACAACACAAACGAAATAAAGCAAATGTACTCAATACATTGAATGTGCTACAACCAAAGGACGTAAAGGCCTTCTTCAGCGTAAAGCGCCACCTAGGTTTTATCGCAGTACATCCAACTGACAGAACAAGAATTTCTTAATAACATACTAACCAATAAAAGCCAATAAAAATTTAAACACATTTTAACACATGGGCAGGAAGACACTCCCTATGCAGCCAATAATTCCACCTTTCATCCATTTAGTTGAATTACACTCTTTACTCACACTGCGGAAAGCTTCACAAAGTCTGTGGAGGCTTCAACTTCAGACTCTCCAAGCAAGAGCGTATGAATGATGTAGATTGGCTATAATTACATTTAGATACAGAGGACAAGATCAGAGTGTCTACAGTCGACTGAGGTAATAAGGTACTAGGGCAGCCTGCAGAAATAGGGAGATGCTGAGGGTCTCCAGTCTGCAGGTACAGTGCATGGAGGATTGATTTGGTTTTATAATGACTTTTTAAACAGGTAGTACACTCAGTGTCTTAACAGAGCTACATCCACTCACTTTCCTACTGCGGTTTAATACCAGACTGACTCGGCAGCGCCAAGTGACAAAAGTACAAAAGGCTTTTGTATTTACTTTTCAAAGTATTAACTTTTCACATCACAACATCCTGTTGAAATTAATATACCAGAGACTCCATCAGCCCTGAGTTTATTATATTCAATAAGACCTTGTTAGAGTTTCAAAAGCAAAGCTGTTGATTTTTTTTTTTTTTTTTCAAAAGAAAAAATAGGTACTGCATGTTCAAAAGCTTGTTATCACACCAGGAACTCTCTGCCTTTCACACCATCCTCTCATCTAATGAGAACAATTCAACATGAGCTGCAGCATCTCATCCAAACCTCACAGTCTCCTGGTAAAATACACTTATCTGCATCAACATGTTTTTTTTTTCTTTACAATCTACTGACGTGGTTATTGATGTCATTGACCTGGTCCGGCCTTCAGCTCTAGGCCTCATAGATTTGAATATTTTATGAAAACAGAGTACGTCATTCATTTCTGAAGACGTTATAATTTAATTCAAATAATAACTGTGTATCGACCTGTTTTTTAAAGCAGTCTTCTACCATGATTACAGTGGACTTTTGAATAGGAACATACGGTACCACTTATGCTGACTACGCCCCTTGGTGGTCACACTGCACATTTAACTTCATTCATCACTGTACATTATGCAGCTTTGGGCTGGTACGGCTATCTATACTGACACCTACACTGGACATGATTGATTACCTCACCTTTGTACTGGGAATGCAAAACTAAACAATTTCATTATGGTTTTGAAAGATTGTGCAGCCAGCAGTGTGTACCATGTACACGTTTAATGATAGAACAGATACTGGATGCTGACGTTACCTTCTGTTGTGTCTTGATCACTTTTGCAGTGGTCCCCAATGTGGGGGGCGGGCCAACATCTGGGCACAGAGTGAATCAAGCGTATTGTTGTATTGTGGAAACTGGAATACCTCCATCAAGAAAGACAAATTGGTTCAAACCAGCTGTCTTCTCAGCTAAATTTAAAATGTAAAGTGTGTTTCTCAGATGTGTTACAACATAATATAATTGTTATCACAAACAAATGGCCAATAATTTCTTTTAATGCTTTCTCTCTTGTTAATAATGCAACAGGAACTGAGGGATGGAGCTGACAATGAGGGAGTACATCCAGGAAATATGGAAAGTATTTTGTCTGAACACCCTACTCTAATCTAATCAAATATAATATAAACTATACTAATGTAATATAATGTCTGCTAATCAAATCTAAATCAGATCTTTACTAATACAATCTCTGCTGATGTAATCATATCTGATCTAATCTAAAGAATGCCCTGGGTGCATCATATTCAGACAAACATACAGTATACATTATGTTTAATCTTCTTCGAAAAAAACTATTTAACCTGCTTTAATGCTGGTTTGACTTTATATTGTTCCACTGGGTTCATGTTGTTCTAACACAGATCATTCACACTTCATGATTCCGATTATCAGACAATCCAGGTGATTTTACCTTGACATGTTTGGACGGTGAGCTCCCGTCCTCTTCTGAATTGTCACTTGATGTCACCGAGTCCTTATCAGTTGTTTATTACGAAGGCGTGGTCAATATGGACAGGGCGTCCATGTCTCCAGCTGCCATTCCTCCAGGTTTCCCTGAAATGAATACAATCATTGTTGTCAACAACAGTAGTTGGTGTTTTGATTATAATAAAGTCAATATGAGTGATTTATGAAGTGAAATGTTGACGTCAAATGACCAGCTACGTAGTTGGACGACTTACTGTAATGTGAACCTCAGCTTGAGATCAGGTGAAGTGCCTCACAGTGCCTTCTTCTCACTGTGTGAAAGAATGACGAACAGCTTCTATCAGTTTGTCTCGGTACATTCACACTCCAGAGCAATCAATCCCATGTAGAGAGCTGTTGTCATGGCTTCTCAGGTAGAACAAAGATCTGACCTCCACTGACAATTCACACCATGGGGCGGCTAATTGGCTTCACGGCTCAATGGTCACGTCGGAGAACTAACATATTTAGGGACAAAGACAAAAGATGAAAAGCCTACTGAGCACAGAAGACATCCAAGACGTGTCCTTGGGAAAGAACCAGTGGGACCAGCTGTCACTCACTGTTGAGAACAGTATTAATCTTACTGTCTAATCTTACTCATAGGGGAGAGTAATGGAAAACACAAAGGGAATATATAAACTCATCACAATTTTTAAAACAGAGATGTTTACATTTAAGAAATGTTATATTCTGTAATAATGTGGGCTTCACATTCACTGTAATCAGTATGGCAATTTTTGGTTTTGAATTTTAGCACATTTGGCTTCACACAGTTTACATTAAGACAATTTAAAAACATTGGTGTATACACTTCAGTTTGACAGTCCACTTCACATGTATTTGTAGAAATTAAAATGGCATATACATATGATTAGAACACAATATTGATGTTACCGTCATGAAGATATGTAATAGCATTCGTTTATTGTTAAAAGGAGAATATAGACAATGCATATAAACGGAATATTTAAAATGTTCTTCTTATAAAAACTATTAGCAACTTTTTCGTTACACACTTAGACAAAATACGCTTCGAAGGCGTGCGTATTTTTTTTTTTTTTACATGTATACTGTATGTATGTTTGACAACGCAGCAGTTATCATTAAATGTCACTGGGCAAATTGGTGGTCAATTTACGCTGACACTGTTTACATGTTTATACACTTCCACTGAATTACTTACGTAAGGTAACTAAGCAATATAAGGTGTATTAACTTGGTGGCTATCTCAAACACATTTGACATTATCCCCACTTCACACGTTGACCAGACGAACGTCTGTATCCCCAACTTCCACACCGTTTTCCATTAGAATCGCTTACCTGACAGCAAAGGCATCATTAATTGTTGCAGCACGTATTTTGCCTCAGGTCACCTGACTAATTTACCCGGAAGACCTAAACAGGTGCCCTCTGAGTGCCTGTCCTCCTGTGCCCTCATCTTGTGCCACCCATTCAACAAGTTCCGGCCAAAAGGTTAAACATAGCGGCTCAGTTAACAAATCATTAAAAATAAATAAAATAAGTAAAGCTTTGACAATTTTTTTAAATACTTTCCTTTACTGTCATGTTATTTTTCCACACAACTGGATCTCAAAAAACAAAACAAAAAACAAAACAATTCAGAAACAACACAAATTGTCAAAAACATGAAACATATATATGTATAATGTACACCAAAAATGCTAAAAGTATCACATCTATGTAAAAATATATATTATAATATGACTTGTAAGAACTCACAAAATAAGATAATCACAAAGTACAAATGACATAATATGCACGTGTGTTTAAAATTTACAATTTCTAGAGAAACAGCTGGTGGTTGTTCAAAATTCTCCAATCTTTATGCCTGTAAATGATTCTCTTTTTCCTGTGTTCACACCTGTGTGTCAAATTGTAAAACTGATGACTTGTGTCTCTGATAATGACACTACTTGTCTCCAGGTAATGTGTTTCTTTTTCTCATCTGCACGTGTATCAAAGCGGGCAATGAGTCAGAACCCGAGCCCTAATGGTTCTGGTGTGGATTTCACCTCGTAGGATCCATTAACTACTTCCTGTCCTGGTGAAAGTCCTGCGATATGGCAAACACTGAAACTGCAGTGTTTACAATCCACAACAGAAGACCGGGCGAAAGGCTAATGGACATTTTCTGAAATATGATAAGTGTTTATTGTCAGGGAAATAGAAAGTACTTCATCTACATTATCGTCTTCTTCTGGAGACCAGTCAGAGCCAGTGTCCATCTGCTGACCAAAGCACTTATAGGCAGAGATTTAGAAAAATATGTTTTTAGGAAAATGGAAAACCTATTATTGTCAATAATTTTTTTAAAGGCTACCCACATTTAAATTCGAGAAGTATTAAGAAAAAAAGAAAAACATTTTTATAATTTGGACTTCCTCTCATATGGTTTTGTCTATAATTACCAGACTTACGTAAAGTGATTTATAACAGAAACATTATTTCTCTGATTGGTTTCTTACAAACATCTTTATTTAACAAAGTAGTTCTTTCAGGCCAGTTAAGAAATATACAAACACATGAACAAGAGAGTCAACACGAAGAAAATGTTTGGTCAGTGACAACTGAGGATAAATGATGCCGTTTAAACACACCACTCACCTCATCTCCTGACACAGCGTGTTAAACACACACCTAACTTTTAAAACCTAAATGAAAAACAAATGAGACAAAAACAGTGTCAGTGCTTTGGGTTTCGAACACAAACAGACGACAGCAGTAAGAAGAGGAGACGTTGCTGTGACACAGGATGAACACATCATTAGGTTTGCATTTTCAATGGATCGGACAGAGAAGCTTATTATGAAAATAAGATAAGTGCAGTTAACCTCCACTAACTGGACTGGACTGTGGTTAAACATAGGGCCCCCAGCCTGCGTGTCAGACCACTAAGACAAAAAAATAATTTATTTTAGATGCTTTTTGTGGAATAAGACTGTTTAGTTGTCTGTAGCCAAATCAGAGCAAAAACTTGGTATTTTTTTTATCTGACATTTTCAACAAATGTATGTCTTTCAATTAAAAAAAAACCAACAAATTACATCCTTATATTTTAATGCTACAACAACAGAGTGAATGAAACAAGATGAAACTTGTAAATACTGAGCATAGATTTTACGATGCATCTGATCTGAGGGAGCTAAACTCCGGCATAAATCATTCGAACGTGCATAGCTACCGTTTAAAACACACAGTGTGAACAGTGTGTGTGTTTTCGGAGGATAAAAGTCTAAAACGTATTTCACGATAAACTTGTGAACTTGAACTAGAAATTGTGAACAAGTACAAATGTAGAACACTTAAAACTTTAGTAGTTTAACTAATGAGTGACACCTCACCAACAGTAGAGGCTCCTTTAGCATCAATTCAACAAATGTGGAGGAAGAACCCACTGGAGGAAACACATTCAAATGTCATCATCTGCTGGTTGACTATTTCACCCTAAAAAAAAAAACAAACAAAACAAAACAAAAAAACAAATGTCCCAAAGAAAAGTAAAAATGTAAAACATTTAGCTGCACGTCTCCTCATCTCAGTCCAAACTCTTTGGCAAATACGGCCAGCATAACTGCACTTTCATTTTTTTTCTTCTTTTAATATTAATTTAAAAACTTGAAGTAGAAAACGGTAAATTCAAAATTATCAATCCGACGTCTCCGACAGCTCATGTCACAATAAAAGGCTTTTATACCAAAAAGGTCAGTGTACTGTGTATCAATGCTACAAAAATTAAGCCTTTATTTACAAACCAACAAGTAAGACTTTCTGTACAGGACATTCATTTTTATGGTTTCCAGTCAATAGTCAAAGCAGAAAAATAAACTTTTAAGTACCGGAACTGGGGTTTGAAATCATTTTTGTCTCTGTTTCCGGGCCTCAGTCCCTCAGACGTCACATGAAGTCGTTGAGTTCTGCCTCCAGGGCAGCAGCCATCTCATCTGCCTCGGAGCTGCTGCCCTCCTCTTCTTCGTTGGAGTCTTTGGACGACTCGTCTGCAGAGAGCATGGTTTTCTCCTCCTCCTCCTCTTTAGCCTCTTCATGCTTACGTTTACAGCCCCTGGGAAAACAACACAGCCTTGTTTTATATGTCATCTTAAAAAAAGGAATATTTAAAAAGAATATATCCCAGGAGGTTTAGTTTCACCTTAGAACAGACCCAGGAATTTTAGTGTTGTTGCCAAAACAACGGTCGAGCCAAGTGATTCAAAGAAGAAAAATCAGAAATGCTCAAAGTTCATTCAAGTGGTCTAGGATTTTTTTTTTTTTTTTTTTAACGTGGCGGTAAACAGACCATTCCTCTGTTCTGTCTGTCTTTGCTTTCCAATGACACCTCCTGCGGAGTGGCTCATTAGCATGATGCTAATGAGGTGTGCAGGGCAGTGCGGTTACTGAGGAGGTCTGACACACTCCGCCACCAGTGCCGCTCTCATTAGACCACACCGCTGTCAGACAGCATTGCTAACCTCCCCGCAGCAGTGCTCTATGTGTGAGTTCATTAAAGGTCAGATGTCAGCCGCACTAAGTGGAGAGGCATGGTGACAGGGCAGATACGAGCGGAGCCCTGCGGACCTTGCGGTTGGCTGTGGTGGACGAGTGTGTGTGGGAGGGGAGCCTTTGTGGTGTGCTGCAGTTGTGCAGCACCTTTACAACTGTCAGTGTAGTTTTTTAGAGCCATTACATCAGGGCACGGTGGTGGGCAAGTGATGACAGACCAAAAAGAAAAGCTTGAATATTGATGAATCCTTTAATGACGATGAGAAAATAACAAGGCCATTTTCACCTGTATGTTCAGCCACTGTCTGGAGTGAATGGCAACGTCGCATTTAATGGGGAAAACAAAGGCAAGAACTTTACTGCTCTACTTTACATTTTTGCATTTTAAATTCAACCTAACACTCATTTTTAAAAATGTAAATAACCAAAAAAAGAAGCCCCTCCATGTATGCTGCACAGTTGCCTACACAGTGCTTAAAATGGCATTCGCATATGATTCATTTTATTGCATCACTGCCGGTTCTATGTGGCTTTTTTTAAACCAAAGACCCCCACGGTACAACTTTTAAAAGAAACTTTGCTGACAACGTATATTTTAGGATTGAACCCGCAGTGGTAGTTCCCAGTGGCAGGGATGCTATAGTTGTGAAATGTTGACAGACCAACGAGTTGAGCCAAGAGCCAGACTGTCCCAGAGCCAAGAAAGATAACTTTAAATCTGCTGTCCACGACAGAAAAGGAAAATCACCATTAGCAGAAGTTTTACCTATCGGTGAAACTTGACAATTGACACAGTGTACGCTGGGACCTGATGGTGAGACTGGAATCTGCCCTGAATGTGTCATTACACTGATGTTGAGCTAATTACGTTAAAAGATTTTTATCTCCATGTGCTACAGAAGAATGGTTTGATGACTCATTAGAGATACAAACACATAAGTTATATAAACTGTAAACTGCATCAGGACCGTCTGTCTGAGTCGGTGCGGAACCGATGCTGCCCGCGGGAGCATTACGATGGGACAGAGTTCAACTGAATGGCAACCACGCTTTAATCTCTTAATGCCGAGGAACGATCCCTGCCGAGTGAGAAGTGACAACACACGATCCCCCAGACTGTAGCTGGAGAGAGAAGGAGGGGGAGGAGGAGGAGAGGACACATGATGAAAAGGCTTCAAGTGCATCTGACAACTCTGCTCACATTAAGAAGTAGAGCAGGGCTGAGGGAATAAAAAAAGGCAAATGGAGCAAACAAAGTGCGATAGGAGAGGAAAACGGAGCACATAGGAAGGATGAGAAAGTTAATAAATGAAACGATAACCATCTCCACCCTGACGGACTCGAACCTTCTTTGCATTCCCGCACAGTTTAAACGCTGATAATTGACCAGGACTGAAATCAATGTGGGGTCCTTCCACTATCTTTAGTCGTTTTCAATCCATATTGGTCAAATATGGAAGCCAGTATGGTGAAAGGAGCCGCCAACAAAATACTGCTCTGAAACTGCTTAAGCAGCAGATCATAATCAGCTCCACCAATGACCTGAATCATTGCTCCAAGCTCCTTTTTTTTTCCAATAATCCCATATCTTTTGCAGCGGGCATGTCACACTCAGATGCTCAGATATCTATATTACCCTCCATTGTGGATTTAGCTCCATGTGTGGCAGGCTGATAAGATGTACTGTTTAAGAAAATGTCTTTTTTTTCTGCCTGTCAGTATATGTGGCTACAAGAATATAACTAACAAATTCAAATACTTCACCAGAACAGTCTATAGTATTGATTTTTTTTGTGCAATAAGCTTTAGTCTGTATGAAAAAAAAAAAAACCCAGCCGAGCTTTAAAGATTTTTTTTTCTCCAATATTTGCTGATTGACAGGTAGCTGTAAATGAGGGCTTTACTCTTAAAATTAAAACATCTGCCTGGCAACCACTTACAGCTTAACTGACTGACTGAACAGATTTGTACCCAAAGACCAAATCTGTGCATTTTGTGAGGAAATTAAATTTCTTTTCTAAAACACACCGACCTTTGTTTTTGTTTTTTTTTACCAGATCAGTGTGTAATATTCCAGGCTCAGGCTTTGGGATTTCATCTTCCATGCTCCAGTAGACTTGTGTAAACATATCTTTAGTCCCTGCTGTGTTTTTCATGTCTGTCTCTCAGATCTGCCAAACAATAAAACCCCATCAAGTGAGCTTTGTATGACTGGTCAAACATCTTTACCAGGAGTGGCGTTCACCCGAAAACTTTAAATAATTTATTTGCATTTTAATCTTGGATTTTCAGCAGATATGATTCCATCACCAAAGCCTAGAAGTATGAACTTCAGGTCTGTTTGTATATGTTCAAAGTTTAACAGGAAAATGAAATGGATTTGTGGTCAGTCGAGGTAAGGGAGTTGTTTTTGTGCAGATATTGATGTGAAACACTGCCTAAATGTATCTTCATGAACCTAATTAGTCCTTGATGGAGAAAATATCACAAAGGATGGAATGCATGCGAAGCAGCAGGAAAATATGTCTTTCCTTGAGGTGCTTTTTTAATTAGTATTAGGTCGAACAGAGAGGTAATTAAGATGTTGATTTACTGCATTAATACTCAGGTCTCACCCACTGATGCTCAGGGACAAATCCCTGGTAGATATTTGAGAGGATATCAAATAGACTTTGAAATCTCTCACCTTAGACGACCCCTACAGCCGCAGTACGGACTAATATTAACATTATCCCTCCAGAACTTTAAACCAGCTATATATAATACTCACAGCAAAAAAAAATCAAAACTCCAAATACCATTATTGACATCTTTGAAGAAAATAATTATAAACCTGGAGTGTTCTTTTGTTTTCATCAGGAGTCTGATCAGGAAGCAGACCAACTGTTACAGTGAGTTGGATTTACTGTTACAGACACTCTTCTCTTCATCCTGCCTTTGTCGGCTGCTGTTTATTGACAAAGACAGTTTAATAACTCCCGCTGTTTGGTGTAGCAAGAAAACAGTTTTGATGGTTCAATACTCGATATAGTTAAAAACACATTAGCAACTTGATTAAATTTGTCTTTGTTTATTAGGGAACGTCTTTAGAATAATGAACCATAAAAACATACAACAGTTATCCCCTCTGACTCTAATGGGTTTCCAATGGGCCACATGATGGATAGGTGTGTTTATGGGAAGAGAGGGTTCACGCCGACAGAATTTTATCGCCAAGTATTCTAGACGTTTAGTGAGGAAGTAGATAGTACTTTGTGTTTTTTTTGTTTTGTTTTTTTTAATACTACGATTTACATAATACAACAACTGCTACTACTTAAAGACAAAAAATTGTGTACTATTGACTTCAATCTCATTAGTGTGAAGAAAGATCACTCCTGTCACTTCATTGCCAGGTCAACACATCAGGATTCAATACAAGTGGAGAGAGCAATAAAGCTAATAGGTTATGTTTGCTTTCTCAAACACAGACTATTGGTTTACATTCAAGTATCAATACAAAAAAACTAGTTGCAGAATTGCAAATGTCAGGGTCAGGAAAGACTACACATTATAATCCACATCATTTTAGCCATGAGTTTTTGGACGACAAAAGTCGTACTATTTCCCCGTTTTTTTTTTTTTAATTTAGGAGAGAAAACAACCCAAAGCAACTTTTCTTAAAAATGCATAATCTGATAATGAACCTTCAAGCTCCTGCTGTTACATCACTATTGCATCCTCCATGGATTGATTAAAAGGTTTAAAGGTGATTTTTTTTTTTTTTTAAAGTGTTGTTTGTATTTTTCTTTGACTTTGAATGCAGTGCAGTCTCAGGAAAATCTGTGTGTGTGAAGACTTTTGGGGAAGATTTGAAGAAGCATTGGTTAACGGAGGCTTCCAAATCAGGCCGGACCCCTGGCTTGGGTCAGACCGTCTTGAGTTACACTATTACACATTTTCTTCATATTTTTCCATATTATTGCTGTTCCAGCAATAAAAAAAAAATTATGAATACTGACTTCCCAATTAATCACAATTAATTATGATTACGCCACAGCTACCCTATGATTAATCAAATTTAAATTTTCAAATCATTTCACAGGCCTCTTAGAATTAATTGCATAATAAAAATGAGAATTACTGCATATGGTTTTCTTTGTTCCCATCTACGGAGGGTGATAATGGTTATCAGCAGGCCAGCCTTTTCCTGAGGTGAATCTATTTGCTTGTTGCAAAATCAATCCGAATCAAGGGCATAAACAGAAAAACTGCCAGCGTCACCAGCTTGCAGACACGAGTCTGAAAAAAGGTCACATCGCTCGCTCCTCCAATTTCTCCTACATATGCATTCTTCTCTCCTGCTCGGTACATAAACGTGAAAAGTCTGAGTCAGCCGTTCTCGCTGCTCACACTCAGAAACCACTCTCGCAGTGCTGAGCTGTGTTTACTGGGAACAGAGAGCACAGTGGGCCGCTGTTATTTTTCTCCGCGCTGCTTCTACTGAGCGTAACACAAAGCAGCAGAACCTTTGTGCTCGCAGCAGGCGCCCGAACGGACTGAAGGCTGTCAATATCTTTTCAA